TCATTTTCATTTGTTTCAAGTTATCTTTTGATTTCTTCCTTGATCTTATTGTTGACCCACTCATTGTTTAGTAACATGATTTAGCTTGCATGTATTTATGTGTTCTGCAGTGTTCTTCTTGTGATTGATTTCTGGTTTCATAGCATTGTGGTCAGAGAAGATGCCTGATATGATTTCAATCTTCTTAAATTTATTGAGATTTGTTTTGTGTCCTAACATGTAGTCTATCCTTGAAAACATTACAAGTGCACTTGAAAAGTATGTATATTCTGCTGCTTTGGGGTGAAATACTCTGAAGATATCAATGAAATCTATTTAATCTAGTGTGTCATTTAAGGACTCTATCTGTTGATTTGCTGCCTAGAAAATCTATCCGTTGATGTCCATGGGGTTTAAAATCCCTGACTATAATTGTTTTTCTGTTGATCTCTCCCTTTACGTCCATTGAGGTTTGGTTTACATATTTAGGTGCTCCTATCTTGGGTATGTAAATGCTTACTAGGCTTACATCTATTGTTGGATTGTTCTTTTTATCATTATGTAGTTTTTCTATGTCTCTTATTCTAGCCTTGGTTTTGAAATCTATGTTTTTTGTATAAGTTCTGCTACCTCAGCTTTTTTTTCTTTTCCATTTGCACAAAATATCTTTTTCCATCCATTTACTTTTAGTCTGTGTGTACTTTTTGACCTGAGATGGATCTCTTGGAGGCCACATATATATGGGTCTTGTTTTCTTATCCATTCAGCTATCCTATGTCTTTTCATTGAAACAGTTAAGTCATTTACATTAAGGTGATTACTGATACATATGTATGTAGTACAATTTTATTTTTGGACTGTTTTTCTGGGTTTTTTTCTTTCTCTCTCTTTTTCTTCTTTTTCTTAAAGCAAGCCCTTTACCATTTGTTGTAGTACTGGTTTAGCCTTGGTTGTAGGTCCTCCCTCTTCATCGCCTTGAATATTTCATCCCACTCCTTTCTGGTCTGAAATGTTCTTGTTGAGTAGTCAGAAAACAGCCTAATTGGTGCTCCCTTGTAGGTAATCATCTGCTTTTCTCTTGCAGTTTTTAGAAATCTCTCTTTGTCTTTAAGCCTTGTCATGTTAATGATGTTGTGTTTCAGTGTAAGCCTCTTTGCATCCATCTGTTTTGGGACTCTCTGAGCTTCCTGGACTTGTGTGTCTTTTTCCTTCACCCGATTATTTCTTCAAATAGGTTCTCGACCCATTGTTCACTCTTCTTTTTCAGGTATTCCCGTGATGCAGATGTTGTTACCCTTCATGTTTCCAAAGTGTTTCTTAAGCGCTCCTCATTTTCTTTTTAAATTCTTTTTGCTCTGCCTGGACGTTTATTCTACCTTATCTTACAAAGCACTGATCCGATCCTCGGCTTCATTTATCTTACTGTTTATTCCTTTCAGTGTATTATTTATTTCAAATATTGCATTATTTATTTCTGACTGGTCCTTTTTTATGGTTTCTATGCCTTTTTTCATGATGTTGAGTATCCTTATAACCATTATTCCAAACTCTTTATCTGATAAATTGCTTGCCTCCATTTCACCTAGTTCTTCTAGAGAATTCTCTTGTTCTTCCATTTGGGATCTGTTTCCTTGTCTTCTCATTTTGACTACTTCTTTGTGCTTTGTACCTTAGTTGTTAAACTAATCAGTTGTAAGATCAATCTGCTGTTAAACTAATCAAGCTGTAATCAGCAGCTCCACAGGGTGGGGCAAAGGAATTCCTGTGGGCAGGGCTATTGCTTCCTTTCAGGCTGATGCCATTTGAAGAGGAGTGTGCTACCTGAGAAAGATGGCTTCTGCAATATGGGGATTGTCAGCACAAGGGTCCTGGTAGCTGTTCCTTTAGTTTTCTCCCCAGAACCACCAACACCAGACACTCAGCAAGTGTCTCTAGTCCACTCTGCCCTCCCTCTTCCAGAACCCAAAGTAAGTGATTGCAAAGGAAATTTTGTATGTTGGTCCTTTAAGAGGAAAACCATCCATCTCCCCCTGGCAGACAGAAACCCTGCTGATTTTCACAGCTGGATGTTATTTAGGTTCTTTCCAGTTCTGATGCTGTAGGCTGGGGAGCACAGCTTGGGATTTAGACCCCACACTTCTCAGTGGAAACTCTCAGCCACTGAAATATCCCTCCAGAACTTCAATTGCCACCTGTGGTAGCCCAGCCAGCCCTCTTGCACCTAATCTATACTCCATACCAGTCTTGTAGTGGTGAAGTGGTTTCTTCTGTCTGTCCTTTGTTATAAGGCTTTTCTCCAGCTAGAGTTCAGTTGGTTATTCAGTTGGATATCTCTACAATTTAGCTGCAATTCTAGATTGGTCCTGGGAAGAGATTAGTGTAGCTTCCACTTACTTCTCTGTCATCTTGGATCTCTAAGATCATTAATTGATAATGTCATTCAGTTCAATTATGTCCTTACTAATTTTCTGACTGCTGAATCTGTCAATTACTTACAGAGGTGTGTTGAAGTCTCCTACTTTAATAATGGATAAGTTTGTTTCTCTTTTCAGGCCTACAAGTTTTTGCCTCAAAATATGCTCTATTGTTAGGTGCATACACATAAAAAATTATGTCTTCTTGAAGAATCAACCTTCTCTATCATTATGTAATCATCTTATTTATCCTTTATAATTGTTCTTGTTTGGATGTCTGCTTTATCTGAAATTAATACAGCTATTCTATTTTTTTAGATACATGTTAGTGTGGTACATCTTTCTATCACTTCACCTTTAATCTAAATGTTTATATTTAATGTGGGTTTCTTATAGACAACTAGGTTGATTTTTTTTATTACATTCAAATAAGATATATCAAGTAGTATGAAGTGAGGTGAATAGTTGCTCAGTACTGAGGGATGATTTGTACAATGTGTGCCACATATTTTCATATGGTTTAGTAAAAATGTATTATGTATAAAAACATATAAATTATCTGAAAGTGACCAGAGGTAATGGGGAAAAAGGACAATGGTGGAAAGAAGGGGAAGGGACTAGATGAAGAACATGTATGAATGACCCATGGACATAGACAACAGAGTAGGAATTGACTGTGGAAGCAGGGGGTGGAGGTGGGATGGGTGGAGGAGGGTAAAGCAGAAAAAATTGAGACAACTGTAATAGAATAAACATGATTTATAAATTTAAATAAAAAACAGTAGGTACAAAATAGACAGAGGGAGGTTAAGAATGGTATAGGAAATGGAGAAGCCAAAGAACTTGTATGTATGACCCATGGACATGAATTAAGGATGGGGTGAAGTGCTTGAGGGAATAGGGGTGCAGGGCAGAGTGGAATAAAGGGGAGAAAAAAATGGGACAACTGTAATAGTACAGTCAATAAAATATACTTTAAAAAATTTTAAAAATAAGAATAAAAAATTTAAAAAGCAAAAAAATAGTGTCTTTATTTTAATTGCTATACCAAGGATATTTACATAAGATTATTGATATAATTGTACTAATATCTAACATATATGTAATTATTTTATATTTGTTGATAAGATATATGAAGTAGTATGAAAGGTAAATAGTTGTTTAGTACTGAGGGATAATTTGTACAATGTGTGCTACATATTTTCATATGGTTTAGTAAAAATGTATTATGCATAGAAACATATAAATTAAATATTGAAAATGTAATTAATTTGAATTAATTTTCTTAGATGATATATAAGTGTTTAACAACTTTTTGGTTACTTACAACTATTCAAATTAGAATTTGGAGAGAAAATTAAAAAGAGAGAGATACACACATTTTTAAAGCAAAGTTGACAATTGGTTATGTGTCTATGAAAGCAAATAAACCTTTCCTTAAAAGTAGTACAACTTTACTATTAATTATTAGCCCTTCAAGGAAAGAATAAGGGTTAGTATTCCAATAAAGGCATATGTTCCTTATTTATGTAGTTAGGATATAATAAATCAAATCATAGGTCCATTGTAAGGATTCAATGGAAGATAGAATGAATATTTACATTAATGAAAGTAATAAATCTGCCTTAGCTGGTGTAGCTCAGTGGATTGAGTGCTGGCTTGTGAATCGAAATGTCACTGGTTCCATTCTCAGTCTAGAGCACATGCCTGGGTTGCAGGCTAAGTCCCCAGAAGGGAGTGCACAAAAGGCAACCACACATTGATATTTCTCTCTCTCTCTTTTTCCCTCCTTTCTCCTCTCTAAAAATAAATAAATAAAATCTTTTAAAAAGTAATAAATCAGTAAATTATTGCATTAAAAATTGCATTCCATTCCAATAATATACCCAAAAGAATTTAAAGCATGGAATGGCAGATACATTTATAGCAATATTCATAGTAGCATTATTCACAATAGCCAAAAGACAGAAACAACCCAAATTGCCATCAAGAGATGACTATATAACAAAATGTGGAATAATCATACAACAAAATATTGAGCACTTGAAAAGAAATGGTGTTGTGATACATGCTATAACATAAATGAAACTCGAAAACCTCATGCTAATTGAAATAAGGCAGACAAAAAAGACAAATATTGAATTATTCCACTTATATAAGGGGTTTTTAATAGGCCAATTAATAGAACCATAAAGTAGAATAGATATTACCAGGGTCTGAGAGATGGGAGCAATGGAAATTTATTGTTTATGGGTACAGGGTTTTTATTGGTGATAATGAAAAAGTTCTAGAAATGAATAATTTTTATGGTTGCATAGCAGTGGGAATGTACATTATGTCACTGAATTTTACACTAAAAATTATTAAAATGGTAAATTTTATGTATGTATAATTTACTACAATAAAAACAAAAATGTTATTACATATTGAGGAGTTGTGATTATTAGCTATTTCTTCTTTTTGTTAAATAACAGCATATTGAAAAAAACATATTCAAAATTATAAGACAGTAAAGAAAGAAATAGACAAAGATAAATTAAATAAGTAAAATATTATTCCATATTTATTGCTAGGAAGAATTAACATTATTAAAATATCCATACTAACCACACCAATCTATAGATTCAATGCAATTCTTATCAACATAAAATTGATATAGTTTCACAGAACTATAACAAACATTGCAAAAATTTATATGTAACCACAAAAGGACCTGAATAGGTACAACAATTCTCAGAAAGAAAAACAAAGTTGGAGGAATCACCCTACCTGACATCAAACTATATTTCAAGTCCATAGTAATGAAAACACCATGGCATTGGTATAAAAATGGACATATAGATCAACAGGACAGAATAGAGAACCAAGAATTAAGCCCTTGTTTTTATGGTCAATTAATATTTTATAAAGGAGTCAAGAACATACGACAGGATAATGATAGTTTATTTACTTAATGGTGTTGAGATAATTGAACAGATAGGTGCAAAAAACTGAAACTAAACCTTACACCACACACAAGAAAAAACTCAAAATGGATTAAAGAATTAAATGTTTTACTCAAAAACATAAAAATCCTAGAAGAAAACATAAGCAGTAAAATCTCAGACATTTCTCATAGCAATATTTCTTTATGATATATCTCCCCCAAGAAAGGGAAACAAAGTAAAAATAAACAAATGGGACACAGCAGAGAAAACCTTTAACAAAATGAAAAGACAACCCACTGAAAGACAGAATATATTTGCCAATGATACATTTGATAAGGGGTTAATATCCAAAATGTATAAAGAAACTTTACAACTCAACACCAAAACAAAAAAAAAACAAAACCTAAAAAATGGGCAAAGGACCTGAATAGAAACTCCTCCGAAGCAAACTCCGAAGATAGCCAATAGACATGTAAAGATTCTCAACATAACTAATCATCATAGAAATGCAAATTAAAGCCACAATGAAATATCACCTCACACCTCTCAGAATGGTTGTCATCAATAAATCAACAAACAAGGTTGATGAGGATACGAAGAAAAAGGAACCTTCATGCATTGTTGCTGAGAATGCAGATTTGTGCATCAACAATGGAAAACAGAAGAGTTTCCTCAAAATAGTAAAAATTGAACTGCTCTATGACACAGTGATTCCATTTCTGGAAATATACCTGAAGAAGCCTGAAACACTAATTCAAATGAATATGTTCATTGCAGCATTTTCACAATAGTCAAATTTGGAAGCATCCAAAGTGCCCATCAGTGAGTGGTTAAAACAGTGGTACATTTATACTATTCACCCTTTGCGACAGCATAGATGGATTTGAGAATATTACGGTAAGTGAAATAAGCCAGTCAAAGAAAGACAAGTACCATATGATTTCACTTATATGTAGAATCCAATGAACAAAATAAACTAACAAACAAAATAGAAACAAACTCTTAGATATAGACAACAGACTGACAGCTGTCAGAGGGGAGGAGGGTTGGGGAATGGGTGAAAAAAAGCGAAGAGATTAAGCATAGGAAAATAAACCACTTGTAGAAAGACAGGCAACAGTATAGTAATTACTAGAGGGAAACCAGAATGGGTGGAGGTAGAATAGGGTAAAGGGGGGATAAATGGAAGGAGACTTGGCTTGGGGTGGTGAACACACAGTACAATAAACTGATGCTGTCTTATAGAATTGTACACCTGAAACCTATATAATTTCATTAACCAATGTTACCCAAGTTCTATTAGAAATAAATAATAAAAAAATTGCTGATTCAAATGAATGAATAACTTAACTGAAATCATTCTTTCTGGAAATTTAAGTCCCAATTTGTTTTACTAATCTATCAAATTTTTGAATATCGTGTTTTTCTAAGTCATCCATTTTACAAACTAAAAATGTAGGTAAATTTAATAATCATATACTTAATACTTCTAAGTACCAGAGGCTGTGTTACATTTTGCCTGAAAAACAGAAGTATTTAATAAATTCCTTGATACCTAATAGCTTATTACTGCTCAGAAAAGATATCAAATGTGTAGAGAACTTATAGCCTGAAAAAAATTTTTGAATGGGAGTGGGGGTGGGCAGGGCAGGGCAGAGGAGAGCAATGGAGGAAAAATGGGGACAGCTGTAATTGAACAATAAAAAAATTTTTAATAAAAATGTTTACATAGATAAATGAATAGTTGGATGTTCATTAAATAGATTTTTAATGGAACTCAAATTCCAAAGAGAATTCTTGCATTATTAACAAATGTACAATTCAAAGCAATGCTGAATCTACTCCTCTCTCCCTTTCCTCCAACCTGGAAGCTATTTACTATAAACACTGCCCAGGTGAATAGTAGGTCAGAGACAGTGATGTAGTGGATTCAGGAAACATTGTCTCAAAGGTCTGAAGCCAAATAGAAATCAGGAAGGAGGAAACAATGAGGGAAATCTCTGGACAAAAAAAGAATTCCTGTACCAATGGATCATTAGGAAAACAGTTGTTCTGGCCCTTTTCCTGTATAAGGCTGAGCTTGTATCACTAAACTGCTTCATTAATTCATATATACCGGAAAGAAATGATTAATCTCTTTTGGAGATTCATGAAAGCATAAAATTAAACATCAGAGAGTTTGGGTCAAACTGAAACACCCCTTATCAGATTTCCTGAACCTCATTTTGGACATCACTGATTCCACATGCACTGGGCATGGTAATGTATGATTAAAATATTAAGAAAGAACATTAAAAAATAATTTCCATCTGCTCAACCAGTCTATAGACTGAATGATAGCAAGAATCATTAGTGTTTTGCTCACCACTGTATTGTAGGACTAGTACAATACCTGATATATGGTAGGTGTTTATTACGTGATTGATGGATGGGTGAATAGATGTTAGATGTGTAGATTATTGGATGGCTGGGTAGATGGAAGAATTGACAGATAGATAAAAACTAAAATTTCCCAGCAAAAATATGCTAACAAAGCTTTTATACTTAAAAATTATAAAGCAATGCTGAAATGTCCTTCTGCTTACTTCTCCTGTGCAGAAAATAGTTGCAAGCATAGAGGGGGAAGCAGGTGTTATAGAGGGGTGCTGAACGAATGGCCCCGGGAGGGTCTCCCAAAAGGCCTCTCCAGGAGGTCGCTACCTTGGTTCCTCAGCTTGTCCTGCAAAATGGATTTGGTCAGAGCACCCAAATATATTTTATGTCTTTGGAAACTGATCCATCCAAGCCACACTCATAAAGGAACAGAAGTAATTTGACTTTCGTGAAGATCAGACTACTCTTATCAGCTAGCTAGCCAGTATATTCTTTCCCTGAAGGTAAATCTATATGGGAATTAGATGATGATCAGAAACGACATAAATAGATTCAAAGTTACATTATGTTGATGCTTATTCTCACTGAAATATAATAGTTTGATCCAACTAAGTAAACAAGAACACCCACTCAGTAAATTAGGGCACTTTCTCTCATACAAGGTTGAGACCTGTGTTATTTCTCTCCACCTCCACCCAAGTCTCTGTGTTCCCCTTTTCTTCTCCAATTTATTCTTAGAAATCACAGTATTTCCACATTTGTATCCCTGGTAAAGTTACTTAACCTGTGTTCATTTTTGCCATCTGTTAAACTGTATAGGTGTGTTTCACAGATTACTGCTACTGTGTTTTGCTGATACACATTGCAGGAGATAATGAGCAATAGATCTGTGACCTGATCTGAGTATCAGAGTCAGAGAACAAGAAAGATTCACTGGAAGACACAATACCCATGTATAATCCAGTAACCCAGGGAGGATCTGAAAGCATTAGATATTCCAGTTATTGAGGAGGGCATCAAATATGACCCATCAAGAACTTTGTAGCACAGTTAAGGAGGTGATTGTCAAGAAATGCAAAAATGTAAATGAGGTCAAATTTTACCTATGGTGCATCCAAACAGCAGTGGAGAACCATTGAAAGACACTTAGAGAATGGCATGATTGACATATTGTTTTTTTTTTTTTTTTTTCAAGAGAAGCGGCTGTCCTTCAGAGATTTAGAGGAGGAAAGACTTTAACAGAGAAATGAGGTTTTCTTATAGTCAGTGTGATGGCTAACCAGGATAAGATTGAAGTCAGCACAGAATAATAAATAGGAGGGAAAGCTATGAACAATGTAAAAGGAGAATCTACATGGCTTTTCGACTAACCATATATAGCAGGTGAAGAATTGGGAGAAAGCCAATATGATGCATGAATGTTTAGTTTCAATGACTGCATGAGCCTGTCATCATTTATCAAAATAAGAAGTATTTTTGAAGGGAAGATAAGGAACAGCTTTAAATGGAGAAAGATAATCAGTTAAGTTTAAGTTATTTTGAGCTTGAAGCGCCCATGGGACATATCAGTGGAAATATTGAGTAAACATGTATGTGTGTGTGAGTGTGAAGATTTTGAAACATCAAAGCAATTTAGGCTAAAAATAAATATTTGTGAACTAGAAGCATATAGATAGTAACTGATACTCATACCATGGAAGCAAGTGTGTTCAACCACAGAGAAGTACAAAGTATGAGAAATAACAGAGCCTGGGGTAGAACTCTAGGTGAGAGCCTGAGGAGGAGACAGGACAACAAAGAGAAAACCAAAAACACGAGTGGTCACTAACACCAAAGAAATTTCCAAAAAGATGAGTGGCAAAAAAAAAGGAAACCACTAGGCATAATTTAACACAGTATGTAACAGAATGTTTTTAATATGTTTAGCAACATAAGTGTCCTTTGTCAGAGAACTTCAAGTGGAGTTGTAAGAATGGAGGCTGATTGGTAGTGAGTAGAAGTAATTAAGAGGTCAATAAGTGGAGACAGAGAGTTTGGCATACAACCCTTCCCATTATTTGGCCTTTGTCAAACTCACCAGCCTTACTTCTCATCACATTCTATTTTGACCCTATAATCTAGTCGTTAAAAAAATACTTACACATTCTAAAACATACCAGACCATGTCTTGCCTTTTCTAACACATCTTCTTTTCAAGATTAAGATGAATTATTTTTCCTTCCATCAAGTCTAACCGGCCCACAATCTCCCCAAGAAGACATGACCTGTCCTCCCTTTGAGAATACGGTACCTACCTATTGTATATGTCTATCCTGGTAACTAACCCAAGATGTGACTAATCATGATTGCAACCTGGGCCTCACTCTTTGAACTCCCTAATCCTTAAATGAATGTGATAGATTACAGAAATGGACACAAGTTTCTCTCCTCTGGATTCATATCCCTTTGAAAGGTGATTCTGCTACTTTTCCTACAAAGTGATTGTAATCTATTACTCCAGTGCTTGCTTGAATCAGACCTTGGCCACATGACTTGATGTGGGAAATGAGGCACTAGCAAACATGACCCAAGTAAGGCATGAGACGTTCATTTCTGGTTGCACTAAGAATAAGATCACTTTATGAACAAGCACAATTTCAATGGCTAAAGAAAGAGAGTTCACATGGAAGAGAAAGCCATCTTAACTGATACTGCGCAACTGTCAGATATGTGAGTGAAGTGATCCTAGACCTTTCAGCCCCAACTGAGCCAGCCTAAACCAGAAATGCCTAGTCAACCCATAAAATCAATCATGACAAATAGTAGCCCTATATTCCTTTAAGTAACTAAGTTTTGGAGTACTTTTTACACAGCAAAAGTCCACTGATGGAGTGAACGAGAAACCCATTCATTTTGTTAGATTGTCATTAATCCTCAGAGAGGGTTAAAAGAGTGGCTAGAAATGGTGAGCTGTGTTCCGCAAGTTTACACTATTAAAGGTCAGAATCTTCAATGACACTCACTTGCCCAATATTTCCACAAGATCTTTTTAACTACAGGTTGAAAAAGGAATGGGAAAGACTCCAAATAAATTCTGAGACTGGATAGTGGTGGAAAGGCCAGTGCTAAATAAACAGTTGTAAATGATACATTCACCCAAAGATCTAAGACAGCAAATTTTCTGCAGAGGGAGTAGCATTCAGTAATAGGAGTTCACGAGGACAATGATGGCAAGAGCTGGGCTGAAAGGGGGAAAAATAAAAACTATAGTTCAGAGAAGAAACTAAACTTTGGAAATGGACCCATACACAGAAACATAATCATGGATTTGAATGTGGAATAAATTTCCCCTTTAAATGCTTCCACATGGTGCTCAGTTTATCTCTAACATGCACAGATAGACGACAGTTTTTGCCTTATGGGTAATTTTTAAAAATTGTTCAGTGCTGATAATGATGATATAGTTATCACTTTATGTATGTTAAGATGCTTCTGAAAAATACATTTTATTTTCAAGTTTATCATTAGACTATTTCTAATTTGGTTAACAATAATGAATACAGGGTATGCTATGCTTAACAGTTATTGGTCTGCTGGACTGAGAAAAAGGAAAATTTGCTCTCAGTTTTTCAATGTATCTCAGGTCTAAAATCCAGCTAATCTTTTTTTAAATTGTTACTTACAGAGAGAGAGGAAGGGAGGGAAGAGGGAAGGAAACATCAATGTGAGAGAGAAACATCAATTGGTTGCCTCTTGCATGCATTTAACCAAGGACCAAATCAAGGAGCCCCATCGAGAATCGAACCAGCAACCTTCTGCTTTGTGGTATTATGCCCAACCAACTGAGCCACACTGGTGAAGACAAATTCAGCTGATCTTAAGTGAACCACAGTTTCCAAAGATATTCTCAAACAATTGTATTTTTTCTTGTGAATCTAAAAGCTAAATTAGTCCTAAGACATTTCAATTTGTTTTTGTTCAAGGAAATCAATATGCTTTAGACCAAAACATCTTAGAATTTCAGAAGAGTTCAGAAATATTTTTGCTTTATAGAAATGTATGTGCCCTCCTTTGTGTTTAGAGGGGTGAAACTGCAGTTCTCTGGTGTACTTAGTCCAATGAAAACTAACTTCCGAATAGACTTGCACTATAACTACCTTATGTAATATAAACAACTGAAGTCCTTGTGAAAAACACAAAATAAATAATAAATTGATACATATTCCTGAAAAAGATGAGGCATTCGTGTTATCACTCTGCTCAAAAAATAATGAACACAACATAACTAAGTGTATTAATTAAATATCAAGTATGTATTGAATACCTTATTTTGTCTTACCTATTCAACAAATATTTAATGAGCAGTTAATATGTTCTAGATGCTGGAATGTGTGGTAAATAAGAAGAGGATGGCCACTTGCCTTTATAGAATCCAATGGAAAACTCAGAAAATAATCAAGTAAAAATTGAGTAAAAATCATGAACATTGTGGTATATATAATAAATTAAATAAATAAGACATCATGATAGAGAAACAAGAGGGGAGGTTTACTTGGTCTAACATTAGTCCTAGGGAAATGATACTAAAGCTCAGACAAGGCAGTTAAAAAATCACCAAGAAAAATACAATGAGCAATATACATAAAGGTTATTACATTGGTGAACTAATTTTTCCAAAAATTGGTTCTTACCTAAGTTCATTAGTTCCTAATCATATTTGATCACTGGCTATAGAAGGTCTTGGATGGTTGAGTTGCCATAAAGTTTCTTTTGGATCTATAGAATTTTTACATTATCGATTAATTAGATTTGAAAGTGAAAGTTGAACAAACTCTGTTTTTTTGTTATTTTTCTCTAATTCAGAGTTTTTGTTGCAGGGATAGAGATAAATGCTTGAATATTTTCAGGTGAAGCATGTATTTAATGCAACAATTGACTTCATTTAGAAATGTGAGTTTTGTGCAAATGTTGGTAGTGTTTTTCAAGAAGATGAAGAATTACTTTAGTTGAATCAACAAAAAGGCCAAAATAATCTATCAATATCATGTTATTATTGACCTTTCTTGCAACTTACAGATATAACAAATTTTCAAGTCCTTCAAAAGCATTTCTGGATATCTTTCTGATTCGGTTGTTATTAAGGAGACTGAAAAAAATGAACAAAATTCCACAATGAGAAACAGATTTTACAATAATAATGATTCTACTAGATATAGTGTTTTCTATAATACAAAAACTGTTACTGACATGGCTCACTAAATTTAGAAATTCATAATTTTCTTTTCAAAAAAGCTATATTAAAACAATAGTTTGCACTGTTTTAAAAATAATTTATATTTATTAAATTACCCTAAAATACACCCAAAAGCACAGTAAACCCATGGATAAAATTATTGTTTTACTGAAGTCTATTATTTAAAAGGAAAATTATGAACATAATCATGATAATAAAGGAACATATTCCTAAATAAACAGATGGAGAGTTGCATACACCCTGGCTTAAGCATTTCCCTTGGAAAAATAAATATTATGGCTCTTGGCACACAGTGGACTCTCAGTGTGTATTTGTTAAACTATCAAACCCAGAGTCTATTATACCATAGGAAGTGAGGTTCTTTTTATAGTACTATCAAATGGTCCAAAAATGACTTCTAGAAAACCCAGGGAGAAAAATAACAGGCGGCAGAATAAATTGAACGGCGAAACAACTTACAGAAAATCATCTTTCAGGAACTTTGAAAGCTTTTGAAAAAACATTCTGGCAAATTAAAATTATATATTTTCTGGTAAATACACTTTAAATTTCTTTCAAATTTAAATAACTATGGCATGTCTAAGGTACCAGAAAAGTCTGCTAATTATAGTGGCACACGGTCCTGAATATAGTATTGTATTTAAAAAATCCAAATCTTCTAAAATCCACTGTCAAAATCAAACACTAGAAGCTCACTTATAGTGTATATAAAGTAATTGTTTGTGGGGTATTATCTGATATGACTGGTTAGGAAAATAGAAGTGCTTTGGCCAATGAAGCAGATGATTGTTTTAGTCATTATACAGAATGATATAGACAAAGTGGACATCCTCAGCCTCGACTGTTCCTAACCTGCTCACCACATGCCTCACCCTTAAAGGCTCAGCCACACTATTTCCCAAACAGTATCTAAAGCCACTTTCTGACACCCCACCTATGACACTGAAGCCACCACTTATTATTTATGATTGTCTAGTGTTCTGGGTATCAGGGGGCAAAACAATCAATCTACAGTATGCATTAGAGCTGATGCCATACAGAGATAATGTCCACTTTGTGGATTATTCTTAGTTTCAGTCACCGATCCAATAAACTTTAGAGTTCACCATGTGTTAAATGAATTTTTAAGCTGGTTAAAAGCAACATGCCTCATTAATATGTAGTTGATACTAGTCATATATATTGTCCTGAGGGAATATGTTACTACACTTCTTTAGGTCCCCAAACTATCACCAGACGACTATTTTTACTTGAAGCATGACTACCATTCTGTCTCAATACATTATTAAGTATATGCAGCAATACATGTACCATAAAATATATGCACATAAGTATTTTTATGTGTGCATATTATATGCATGTGTGTGGATACATGCATATATACATGCACCCGTTTGTGCATGTATTACATATGTGTGACTTTCACACTATGTGATGTGTGTATATGTGTGATACATTGCATGTGTATAGAATCTCAATCTTATCTGGACTACAAAACACAGGAAACAAGATGTTTGACTATTTTCTTAATTCTCCCAAAGATATTGCCTAGGAGAGAGGCTGATCTATTTCATACAAAGGATGCCTTTGGGCATTAATGGTTAATTCTCTTTCAATACCACCATTGAGATAGGAAAAGGTACTACTCATCATAATTCCTTTTTTCATTATATAAAAAGTGCTTGAAGCCTATGTTTCAGCATATTCTCACATAGTAATCTAAATTTTGGTAAAAATAAAACATGCAATTTCTAAAAATTGCACTGAAGTTGTTTCTATTTCTTTAACATTATAATTCAATATGAATGTTAATAATCTAAAGTGTGAGATAGTTTTCTTGGAACTACTTTTATTGCTGACAAGAAACAAATTTATTAAAATGGTTCACAGTTGAATGCATTTTTCAATCACAAATACATATTTGTGTTAAAGTTTATTCAAAGCCTATGTTTTCCATCAAAATCTTTGTTATAATTTTAATGGATGAAACTTTTTCCTAACAGTGTTTTGGTTAAGTGATTATAGAGACTGTCATTTATTATTTTTGTTTTATTTTTCATAAAAAGATGAATTCAAAATCTATGAGTACTTCTGCTGGAATGCAGGGTATAAAACAATACCTAACACATCTTCACCAAAAATCAGTGCAAGCTTAAAGAAAGTCATGATAGGTCTCTATATTTTAATATTGCCTAAGATGCCAAGAGAAAAAAATAAAAGATGCAAACAAAATTCCCAAGTAAGAAAATGTTATATTTTTATTGAAGAAATAAAATAATTTCTGAAGGCAGGAAATCTGTTTATTGTCATGATCAAGTCCTCGCGGAAAAAGAGGAAGCAGCACAGACCAATAGACCTGTTTTATGAACTACATCTTTTTTTTAATAAAGATTGTATTCATTAATTTTTAGAGAGAGGGGAAGGGAGGGAGAAAGAGAAGGAGAGAAACATCATGTGAGAAAGTGAAAACAATCAGTTGCCTCTCATATGGCCCCAACTGGGACCTGGTCTGCAATCCAGGTATTTGCCCTGACTGGGAAGCAAACCAGAGACCTTTCAGTTTGCAGGCCACGGCTCAATCCACTGAGCCACACCAGCCAGGGTTCAGCTACATCTTTTGTTGCTGAAATACAGTGTCTTAAATAAACACAGTGCACACATATACTTGCACATTTGATGTTATATAAAAATGTTCTGTGTGGTTTGAAATATTTTGTTTAAAGAAAACAAGTAGCTATTAGGAAAGGTAAAAGCTTTTTACATAGTTATGTACTCATCAAAGTGGAAACAAGCAAAATAGAGCTTTCTCATGTGTAATGTAAAATTTTCCATTCGAGAAAATGGCAAGATTTACTCTGAAAGTGAATCATTATATCCACATTTAAATGCAAATAACATATTCTTTTTGTTTTTGTGAGTGGCAATAATGTTGATGTTTCTGCTTATTATGTTTACTTTTCATTTGGACACTCTCCAGAAATCTGGTTCTGCAGCTATTAACATGGCAGGATTGTGTACTTTATTTCCATGCTTACTGAAGTAAACTAAGAACCAAACTTTCAATATGCATAAACCATAATTCTTGAGTGATTTGTGTAGCTACCAAGAGATATGTGGGCAAAGTCAGTAAAGAATATCTTTTAAAATTTTGCCATCCTCAATACCACTAAAAATATTTACATTATTGTAAGTACCACATAAATCTTTGTAATTCAAAACATTCAAAAAAGGGGTGGGGGGAAAGGGATTAAAAAATGTCAGGCTGATTTAAAGGATATAAATTTATTTTCAATTGGATATGCACATTTCTCAAAAGAAAAGTCATATTTACATTTCAAATCTCTCTATGAGTGACAAATCCTTTTACATATCCAAGAGACTGACTGTCTTCTATCTTTTGAAATTTTAAGACTTTGTAATTTAAAAATTCTGAAGTAAAATACAGAAATAAATATTTTGAAAATTTGTAGCAATGTCCATTTTTTCCATTTCTGTAAATTAACTAGATTCTTTCTCCATATAACTACTTTTATGTCTTTATTAATTTATGAGTAATTTTTCTCATGTTAAAAATTTAACTTTTGCTTATAACATGTATTAGAAATTTTTTTAAGTTTATAGTTTGAACTTTGGGATTTTTTTTATTACTTGCATCACATGGATGTTTTAAATTTTATGTAATGCAATTTATTGGTCATTTCCTTATCGTTTTTGTGTTTTAGATCATGCTTAGGCTTCCCTGAATCTAAAACTACTTTGTAAACTTACTTTTTTTTCTTAAGCTGTTGTGGTTGCATTTTAATGCTTAAACCTTTTATTCACCTGTAATTAATTTTATTTTTTCCGAATTGTTTACTGTTATTACTATTGATATATTTTCCTGTGATGTGCAATGCTGGAATAATCACGTGCATATTTCTGACATGTAGCTGAGTCTATATAGAAATTAAAATGAAAATATTTCAAGTATTATTGTTTTCTGTTTTATTTCATAGGAAGAGTGGTTTTTACCCCTCTTGTACTGTTTTAATGGTTATTTTCACAGATTTTTTTTCTAGGTGTACTTTAGGAACATTCTTCAAATTAAAAAAATCTTTTAAGTGTTCTAATTAATATTAACATTATTTTACCATATCGACTTTACCTATCTAAGAAGAAGGTTTGTCTTTCCACTTACTAGCTCATCTTTTATAGCTCAGTAAATTTTAGAATAATTCCTCTTTCTTTTAAAAAGAGGTGTTTTCATTATATAAGTTTCAGGTGTACAACATTATAATTTGATATCTATATACACTATGGTGTATATACCACCAAAGCCTAGTTTCTATTTATCAACATATATGCGATCCCCTTTAACCACTTTACCCTACCCCTGACCCCTTTCCTATCTGGTAACCACCAATCTGTTGTCTGTATCTATGACTTTGCTTTGATTTTTTTCCTTTTCCATCTGACTTCTTTCATGTGGTATAGTACACTCAAGATCCATCCATGTTGTTGCAGAGAGCAATATTTCATCTTTTTTATGACTGAGTAGTATTTTATTATTCATATTTATACATTTTATATATATTTATATATAATGCATAAGTAAAACACTTTATCTGGCGATGGGCACTTAGGTTGTTTCCATATCTTGGCTATTGTACATAATGTTTCATTAAACGTAACAGTGTAGAAATCTTTTCAAATAAGTATTTTCATGTTCTTTGGGTCAATATCCAAAAGAGAATTGCTGGATGACAGTAGTTCAATTATTAATTTGTTGAGGAAACTCCATACTGTTTTCAATAGTGGCTGCACCAATTTACGTTTCTACCAGCAGTGGTTAAGAGTTCCCTTTTTTTCACAGCACCTCTAGCACTTGTTCTTTCCTGTCACTTTGATAATAG